CTGGGCTGCGGCCACGTGGTATCGCTCCATCCGCTGTTCCAGTGCTTCCAGGAGAGTCCTTGGGGGTGGGGGAACCTCTGGGCCCAATGAGGGTGGGGGGAGGGTTAAGAGTCTTGGAAGGGGAGGAAGGGGACTGTCTTGCCCTGGCCCACTTGCCCGCCCAAAGTCCCAGGAGCCTACCTGGTGTGGATGGCATCGTGGTGGGAGCCGGAGGCTGCAGTGGCGGTGATGGTGGGTCTTGGGGCAGCTGGTCTGGGGGCAGAGAAGTCCAGTGCAATGAGGGGCTTGCTTGTGGCCGCCCCTACCCCCAGCCTGGTGTGGCCTGAGCGGGTCTCCGAGCCTGACCAAAAGGGGCGGCAATATCAGGAAGTCAGTGGAAGCCTCCAATAGTCCTGGAAGGTGGGCAGGTGGGGTCCTTACCAGGTGGAGGGGGCAAGCGGGACAAATCCACAGGCTCCCCACGGCTCAGGGCCTCCAAGCTCTGTGAGAAGGAAGGGGGTAAGGAGAGGCTGGAGCTGGAGCCAGGTCCCTGTGGGGAGCCTCCATGCCCTGCCATGTGACAGAGGACTCCCAGTTCTGCCCCTTCCTTTGTCCCTTCTTGCTTAAGCCTCTTCTTACACTTAGGCCCATTTCACAGAAAGGGTAAACCAAGGTTTTAAGAGATGCCACAAATGGCACCTAGGGACTGATGAGGCCAGAATTCGAATTTAGGTCTGTCTGACTCTAGAGCCCACGTTCTTTGCCACCATGTAATGTTGGAAGCATCCCATCCTTTCCATACGACACTGTCGTTCAGTCTGGACACACCTTGGCCACACGGAAGTATCTGGTGGCGGCGGAGGTATCTCCCTGCTGCTTGGCATGAAGGGCGGCCAGCTTGTACTCACGTTGGCGGCTCTGCAACTGAGCCAGGGGGCCAGTGCTGCAGGGACCTGGCAGGGAGAAGAGCACACAGACCATTTCTATTCTCACAGCAAAAACTGTTCTTAGGCTCATTTTATAGATGTGAGAACTGAGGCTCAGAGAGGGGATGCTGTCTCCCCAAGGTCACACAGCATGGTGGCGACTCAGCTTAGGCCTGGCAGGCTCCAGAGCCATTGCTGTTTTGTGCCCCAAATTTTTTGGCAAATTTGATGTACCGTTAAGCATTTTTAAGTTGATATCTAAAATTTTTTCATCTTAAGTTTTAAAAGTGGCCAACATTGTCATTCCCAGTATCTTGCAAATATTTACGTTTGAAAAAGAAAAGCATTGCACCACTCTTTTAAGCCTAATGTATTTTAACTACTTTGGTGATTTGGAACTCATCAATATCCACTTTTTATTTTTTTAAAAATATGACAGAATACAAATAAGGCAAAATTCACCATCTTAACCATTTTCAAGTATACAGTTCAGTGGCATTAAGTACATCCATTTGTTGTGCAGCCATCACCACCATCCATCCACAGAACAGAACACTTTCATCTTTCCAAATTGAAATTCTGTCCCCATTAAACACTAACTCCCCATTCCTCCTCTCCTAAACCCTGGCACCCACCATTCTGTCTCTATGAATGTGATTCCTCTAGGAACCTCACATAAGTAGAATCAGACAGTATTTACTGTCTTATTTCATCCAGCATAACATCCAAAAGGTTCATCCACATTGTAGCATGTGTCAGCATGTCCTTCCTTTTTATTTATTTTACTTTATTTTTTAAATCCTCACCCGAGGGTATATTTTTTACTGATTTTTATAGAGAGAGGGAGAGGGAAAGGTGGGGGGTGGGGATGGGGAATGGAAGCGGGGAGAGGGAGAGAAGGAGAGAGAAACATCCATCAGTTGCCTCCCATATGTGGCCCAACCAGGGATCAAACTTGCAACCTAGGTATGGGCCCTGACCAAGAGTCGAACCTGCCACCTATGACACTCCAATCAACCGAGCCACCTGGCGACGCAAGAATGTCCTTCCTTTTTAAGGCTGCATAATACTTCACTGTACAGATATAGTGTTTTGTTTATCCATCCATCTATCATTAGACACTTGGGTTACTTCTACCTTTTAATCATGCTGCTATGAGCATGGGTGTGCAAATATCTCTTCATGTCTCTGCTTTCAATTCTTTTGAGTGTACACCAACATTTACTTATAAAACACTTACCAGGGTTCGCTTTTATTTTTATTTTATTTTTTTAAAAATATATATTTTATTGATTTTTTACAGAGAGGAAGGGAGAGAGACAGAGAGTCAGAAACACCGATGTGAGAGAAACATCGATCAGCTGCCTCCTGCACACCTCCCACTGGGGATGTGCCCGCAACCAAGGTACATGCCCTTGACTGGAATCGAACCTGGGACCCTCCAATCTGCAGGCTGACACTCTGTCCACTGAGCCAAACCAGTCAGGGCAGGGTTCGCTTTTAGCAGTTGGAAATTGCATACTTCTCTTCTTTCTATCCACGTCCCCCACAGAATTTAATCCTAACATTATCTATGTGGGGACTTGACAACCTTTTTTGACCACCCTATCATACATTTGTAACCAAAACACACTTATGTGGTGTGTTGGTAAAGTTGGGAAACAGAGGATTAAACTGCTTTTATTTATTTTTAAAAAATATATATTTTCATTGATTTCAGAGAGGATGGGAGAAGGAGAAATAGAAACATCAATTATTTAAAAAAAGGAAAAAACTAAAAGAACAAAAAAAGAAACATCAATTATGAGAATCATCGATGGGCCACCTCCTGCACGCCCCCCACTGGGGATCAAGCCAGCAACCCAGGCATGTGCCCTTTGACTGGAATCGAACCCGGGACCTTTCAGTCCACAGGCCAAGGCTCTATCCACTAAGCCAAACCAGCCAGGTCTAAACTGCTTTTTATTTTATTTTATTTTTTAAAATATTTTATTGATTTTTTTACAGAGAGGAAGGGAGAGGGATAGAGAGTTAGAAACATCGATCAGCTGCCTCCTACACGCCCCCCCCACCCCCCCCACTGGGGATGTGCCCGCAACCAAGGTACATGCCCTTGACCAGAATCGAACCTGGGACCCTTCAGTCTGCAGGCCGACGCTCTGTCCACTGAGCCAAACGGGTTAGGGCCTAACCTGCTTTTTAAACAGCAATTTAGTTAGTTTCAAATAATAGGCTCAATTTGTTTTCAGAGGAAGTATCTCTAGATTGAAAGTAATTGGTAAGTTGTTGGTATAAAAAACCAAAGCACAAGCCGAAACCGGTTTGGCTCAGTGGATAGAGCGTCGGCCTGCGGACTGAAAGGTCCCAGGTTCGATTCCGGTCAAGGGCATGTACCTGGGTTGCGGGCACATCCCCAGTGGGAGATGTGCAGGAGGCAGCTGATCGATGTTTCTAACTCTCTATCTCTCTCCCTTCCTCTCTGTGAAAAATCAATAAAATATATTTAAAAAAAAACAAAAAAAAAAAACCCAAAGCACAAGCCCAGCTGGTGTGGCTCAGGGGTTGAGTGTCGACCTATGAAGCAGGAGGTCACGGTTTGATTCTGGTCAGGGTACATGCCCAGGTTGCAGGCCGGATCCCATGTGGGGCATGCAGGAGGCAGCCGATCGATGATTCTCTCTTATCATTGATGTTTCTATCTCTCTCTCTCCCTCTCTTTCCTCTCTGAAATAAATAAAAAACAAAAAACAAAGCACAACCGATACACCACCCAGTGACCACAAATCCTAGAAACACCTGGGAAACAGCCTGCATTGTGCTTTTGCATACTGACAACTGGACCCAGGGCTTTAAGTTTGAGGGCACTCGCCTGAGAAGGTGTGTACAGGTTGAACCTAAACACCTTGATATTTGATTGATTTATTATCGCACGTCTCTCTTGGCATTAAAAAATTTTCTCCTGGGGTTGAATTACTGTTACAATTATATTTAGCACGTAATTGAGCATAGTATAAGTACCTCTAGCTTTCTGATAAAATACCTTTACAAACCAAGGGTAAAATTTTATCGGCAAGGTACCTCTTGCTGACACAGTAAAGGCTGGGTCCACCTCCTAACATTTAGCTCCTGATTCCCATTCATTCCTCTCCTACTTTATTTTTTCCTTTTTTAAAGTGTAGAGAAACCTGCTTCACACCAAAAAATAGATGGGAAGAAGCAGAGTCTTGTTATTGCAACGTCACACCCCAATTCTCCGAACCCCTGCCAACCTATATGCCAAAAACCCCATCATGAAAAATTTGGGGTGATTTCAACTAAGGATTCCAGGTGACAATTTCCAATAGTCCTCCTTCACCAAAAACAATGGCTTAGAGACCAGCCTGGCCGCTAAAGGAATTATAGACCCCGTGTTCACATTCTCAACCCCAGGCCATCCTTTTATACTGTCTAATTGGTTCCCATCTGGGAGCGTTCGCCCCTGGAGCAGAGCCCAGAGTTCAGGTTCTAGAAGGGAGAGGTTGCGTACTCCTTTCCTGTATGGGAGGAGGGCGACCCCAGAGGGGGAGGTTGAGAAGAAAAACCTCCAGGTAGGTGCGTCCTCCAGCCAGGTGAGGTTTAGTAGAAAAGACAGACAAGCTGAGCGCTTGAGAATTATCCACTTAAAACTCTGTATGTGGGAATGTTATTCAGCCCTAAAAAGGAATCAAGTTCTGATACAAGCTGCAATGTTATCCTGAGTGAAAGAAACCAGACAGCAAAGGACAAATAGTGTACGGTTCTACTTATATGAAATATCTACAAGAGGCAAATTCAGAGACAGAAGAATAGAGGTTACTAGGAGCTGGGGGAGGGAGATGGAGATGGGGAGTTAGTGTTTAATGGGGACAGAGTTTTGGTTTGGGGTGAAACTTGGAAAATAGAGGTGATGGTTGCGTGACGCTACTTAATTACACTGAATTACGGTTAAAATGGCACATGGTATGTGATATATATTTTACTACCACCACACATGAAAAAAAGGGTATTCATGAACTGCAGAGGCATGCAGACCTCAGAAAGGGAGAAGTGTTTATAATATCGAACAACCAGTACAGGGCCCTCATAGAGGGGCCAACCACTGAATATATCCTCCGACAGCCCATGTCAACACCCTGCTCCCAGCCTACCTGGGGGCAGCTGGGGCTTAGCCAAGCCCAGTGACGAGGCAGGGGCAGTGGAAGGAGGACCCTCCACTGTGACCCTGGGTTCTGGGGCCGGCAGGTTCATAGAGCCTGGCAGGGTGGGTGCAGGAGTGTGGCTCGATGGGGCTGCTGGGCCCTTCCCCACAGCAACAGGTGGTGGGATGTCCTCTTCGTCAATGGCACTGCCCTTCCGGACGGAGGCCAGCAGGTTTTCCAGTGTCTGGAAGAGGGTGTAAATGTGGGTTTTGGAAGCGCACAGGACTGAGTGCCGGGGCAATGGTGGGGTCCCAACACCCTCCTGTCTGCCCACTCACCTTAAGTCCCCGCTCATAGCGCCGCACCTTGGCACTGTCTCCGGCTTGCCTAGCACTTTCAATCGCTGTCTGGTAGAGGGCCAGCCTCTCCTGCAAGGTGGCCTCCAACCCTGGGCTGGGGGCTGTGGCTTTTGGCTGTGGGAGGGGCCAGGGGCATGGCGTGGGTGGGTGGTGACCCAACTCGGCCCACTCTGAAGGTGTCCTTGGTTGAGGGCCTACTGCACACCAGCCATGTCACCCCTGGGCCAGTTGCCCCCACCTGGGAGGGACAGAAATTGTCATACCCTTTCCTAGTATAAAGAACGGGGGTTCAGAAGTGTCCCATCACCTGCCTGAGGTCACATGGCTAAGAGAGTCAAGGGAAAGCCTTGAACCCCGGGCTACAGGGAACAGAATTGTCAGAGATATACCTGGGCCACAGGAGGGTGGGACTCCGAAGTCTTCTGCTCCTCCCCAAGGACCTCATTAAGTTCCGCCTGCAGGGACACAGGCCGGAGGCTTGCATGGGGGCCCAATGGATGGGGCAACAATGGGAGGAACCCTCCTGCCCCACTCTGGACACGCACCAGCAGGTCATCATCAGCTTCCACATCCTCCTCATCTGTCACCTCCTCCTCCTCCTCATCCGGGTCTCTCATGCACAAGCTGGCCATCTTCTCAATGGCCTCCATGGGTAGGGGACCTGGCAGCAGGGGGAGGCGCCAGGTGGACCGGGATCTTTCAAGAGTCCCCAGCCTCCCATCCCAGTCACCCACAGCCCCAGAGAATAGGGTAGTAGGCATTGGGGCAGCATGTCTCCCTCCTGGCACTTCCATGGCACCCACTGCTCTAGATCCAGCCGGCACAATCCCACTCCCCAGGGACCTCACCGGCCTTATCCCTTCCTTATGAAGCCTGAGTTCAAACTCTGGCTCTGGAACTTTCTCACTGTGGGACACTGGGCAAGTTGGGTGACTCAAACTTTTTGTGGCTCTGTGTATGTCCAAGAATTAGCCAGTAGATGAATCCACAATGACAGAATTTATGATAATGAGGGTCAATTGTATTAGCTAAAAAGTGTAAAGGCTATGTCTGCTGTCTGGGCTCCAGCCCCACTGGACCAGTTTAGAATCCTCTGCCCAATGCCATCTCCCCCAAGGCATTTGCATGTGCTGTGACCCCCTCCCAGAAGTGCTCCCCACCTTTCAGGTGGCCCTCCCCATTATGCGTGCCTCCTCCAAGAATCCCCTCCCAGCTCATAGGTGTCTCCCAATGCTCTGTGCTTCCCCCATCGCAGCCCCGATCACAGGACAGTGGGTTGGATAACTCACCAGGACCTGTGTGAAGTGCTTTAAGAACACTAGATGATTAATTCCTGTAAGTGAGGTTTATTCCCATTTTATAAATGGGAAAACTGAGGCCCACACAGGTGCTGGGACTCATGAAGTCACAGCCAATAAGTGGCTGAGCTGGGATTGAACCCTCACTCTGGGTACAGAGTTGGTAGCTTAACCTTTAACCCAGACCTGTGGGTTTCAGGAGGGCAGGGACCTTCTCTGTCTCCTTTCCCCCGCCTTCCCAGCACCCAGCTCTGAGCCTGCCCACAGTGGAGCTCGGGAAATGTTCCAGGGATGGACTGAGAGCCTCACCTTTGCCTCGGAGCTTCTCCAGGGTTTGAGGCTGGCCCCCAACCAAAGCCAAGAACTCAGCCTCCAGTTCCTCATGGTTAACTCCATCCTCAGGGATCATCAGGCCATCCGGGGAGAGATCAACCAGCAGACCCAGCTGTGGGAACAGAAAAGAGTTGTCAGACCTGGGGATGCACCACACCTAGCCATGATTGACCCAGGGTCCCCTCGGGAGGAAGGGAACCCAGGCCTTGTGGCAAAAGCCATCTCCCTGGGAAGTGTCAGAAGTCTGGAACAGGCCCAGAATGCAACAGGTGTCTCAAGATGGCCAGGCCTCTGGCATAGATCAGCATGGGGCAAAGGGCACGCGGAGAGACCCAGGTCCCTGCTCCGAGTCCACACCCATGGTTCGCTGCTTGCAGAAATCGGTCGGGAAAACAGGCCCCACACCCTGCCCAAAGCACAGCAACTCTGCACACCTGGGCTTTTCCTTCCAGCATCCTCAGCAGAGGGGGTCATGCAGGAAGTCCTGCCCTAGCCGGTTTGGTTCAGTGGCTAGAGAATCGGTCTGCGGACCAAAAGGTCCCGGGTTCGATTTCGGTCAAGGGCACGTACCTCGGTTGCAGGCTCTTCCCTACCCGGGCCCTGGTCGGGGCTCGTGCAGGAGGCAACCAATCGATGTGTTTCTCTCACATTGATATTTCTCCCTGTGTTTCCCTCTCACTTCCACTCTCTCTAAAAATCAGTGGAAAAATACCCTCGGGTGAGGATTTTTTTAAAAAAGTAAATAGAAGCCCTGACAGTAACATGACTTTGAAAGTCGGGTCTTTGCTATGTAACAGACCATTTTCCTATCCTTTCCTATCCTATCCTATCCTATCCTATCCTATCTTATCTTATCCTTTCCTTTCCTATCCTATCCTACCCTATCCTGGTTAATGACCCATCATGACATGATAATGTTAGGATGAACTATACAAAATTGCTCTTTCTGTGGATCAAAAATGACCCAATATTGGCAATTATATATGGCTTCTTCTAATACTATGAACAATGACAATAATATTTACTGAGTGCTATGTTCTAGCACTTACCATAAACTATTCCAATGAATTTTCACACCTGTCCTGTGACACAGGGACTCGTAGGGCCTCCATTTTACAGATAAGGAAACTGAGGCTGAGAGCTGTGAGGCCAAGTATCCGATGTGCAGGGGTTAGGAGGGAACTTCAGGTTGGCCAGACTCTAACACCTGGGTACTAAGCAATGGCCTGGGTTCCTTCCATTAAAGCTGAGAAAAATCAAACTTTCGGGTGCCTGGGGCAGAGGAGATGGGAGAGCAGGAGGGACCCAGCCACAGCCCTGTGGGCTCATGGCAGCAGCTCTGGATTTGCACTTAGCTCTGGCCAACCTGTCAATCCCCATGACCTTGGCCAGGTGTCTTTACCTTTCTGGGCCTCAGTGCCCTCATCCTTATAATGGGGATAAAAAGAGTCTGACCTGGCCTGGCTGATGGGAGGGTTCAAAGCTGCTCCGGGCAGGGGAGCAGCACCTGTCCTTATCCCAAGTCGAGGCCTTCCCCTCCCCTACTGGGGCTGTGTGGCAACAGGTGGCCCTGAGCCTAGGGCGGGGCGCCAGAAGCTGGGGAGCCAGGTCCCGTAGGCCGCACTTCGGGGGGTCGAACCGCACTTGGGGGGCGGGGACCGTGGCTCACCTGGGGGGTAGAGATCAGGTTCCCTGAGGGGTGGGGAGGGTTCCTTCGGCGGGGCCGCGGGATACAGACTCACCTGGCGGGCGGCGGCGGCGCCTCGGCCCGGGGGTCCCGGGGTTCCCTTCCTCTTGTGCATCTTCCAGGCTAGATGCCCAGACCACGGCCCCCTCGCCTGGCCTTGCCCTGCCTCCTCCCCCGGGGCCTATGGCCGCGCACGCGCCCTTCCAGAGCCCTCCGCCCCTCGCCG